TGCTATACTCCCACCAACTGTGTAAAAGTGTTCCTATTTCTCCACATCTCTCCAGCTCTGTTTTCTGATTTTTTAATGATTGCCATTCTAACTGGCTTGAGATGGTTATCTCACTGGGTTTTGATTTGCATTTCTCTAAGACCAGAGATGATGAGCTTTTTACATGTTTATGGCTGCATAAATGTCTTCTTTTGACACTGCCTGTTCAATCCTTTGCCCACTTTTTGATTGGGTTGTTTTTCTTGTAAATTTGTTTAAGTTCTTTGTAGATTCTGGATATTAGCCCTTTGTCAGATGGATAGATTGCAAAAATTTTTTCCATTCTGTTGGTTGCCAGTTCACTCTAATGATAGTTTCTTTTGCTGTGCAGGAGGGAGCTCTTTAATTAGATTCCTTTTGTCTATTTGGCTTTTGTTGCCGTTGCTTTTGGTGCCATTGCTTTTGGTGTTTTAGTCATGAAGTCCTTGCCCATGCCTATACCCTGAATGGTATTGCCTAGGTTTTCTTCTAGGGTTTTTGTGGTATTGAATCTTATGTTTAAATCTTTACTCCATTTGGAGTTAATTTTTGTATAAGGTATAAGGAAGGAGTCCAGTTTCAGCTTTCTACATATGGCTAGCCAGTTCCTAACACCATGTTCTGTCAAATGTATTTTTAACAGACTGGGACACCATAACACAGAGAAGATAATCATTATTGGAATGTAATGAGGAGAATGTACATATCTTGGGAATTACCATATATGCATGTTCACCTCTTTCTCCTCACTTTTCCCACGAACTCAGACTCCAGATCCCTATTCCTTTTTGGGATTCCAGAAACTCACCAGGGATATTCTTCCAAAGATTTATGATACCTCCTTTTTTCTGCTGATTAATGCCCATCTGCAATTATAGTTATAGCATCAAGACCCACATTCCACCAGTATCAGGTGGTGAGTAAGTTTTATCACGTGAATGGGGAGAGGGGCATTCAGCCATACCAGTTACAGTCCTACTTTTCATGTCTACACTTTCTTCAGACTGAGCCTTGGGAAGATATCAGGTGAAAAAAGAAGAAGAAGAGGAAGGGAGGAGGAGGAGAAGAAGAAGAAGAACAGGATAGAACATATCTATAGAGCCTTTCTATGTCCAGGTTTCTTTTCCATATATTGCCTTGTTTCTGTCTCATGGTTTTGGGGAATCTGTTACATCAGGAGCAGGTGAGTAAGAAAATACTTGAAGTCAAGGAATTAGGTGGTCTAAGACAGTGGCTGTGTGGGAAGTGACATGGAAATGGGCTCTGACCCACCACGGGGGCTGTGAGTGCTCTACTCTCATTTGTATTCCAGCAGAACTGCAGACATTCCTGGCCAGACCTGCTTAATGGAAGCCAGGAAAAGCACACACTGAGGGGCCCACGTTCTGGACTGTAATGAAGGCAAAAGTGTTAGGCTTGCCAAGAAACGCTTCTGGGAAGTTCAGAAACTTTATTTTTCTCCATTTAAACTTGAAATGACTTCACTATCCTTCTTGCCCCCATTGTAATTTAGGAGATATCCAATATGAGCAGACAGTAGGAACAATAGCTCTAAATTATACCAAGAGTTTAATATCATTTTAACACTTAGTACAATTTAAACGTTGTGCATTGCTTCTATCTAATACCTCGGTATTTTCCTCGTTGCTTTGACCTTAGTTTTGACTAGAAGCTCTTCTGTGAGGTAGCAAAAGCATTCAGCTTCCAGAGGTTACCAAGCCTCCCAGAACCATTTTTACACAAATGCAGGTATTAATATGTGACATAAAGAAGTGAGCAGATTCGCTTTCTTTATGCCACATGATATTAAGATCCTAATTCCAGAAACACTTCTAAAATTCAAGGACATATTGTAGCAATTGGACTTTCAGGAGCAAGAACTAATATATGATTCACACAAAAATAAGAAGTCTATTAAAAATTGTCAAGCCTACCAATTAATATTCACTGCCAAATCATCAAGTACATCATTGTTTTTAAACACTTGGTTTAAGTTTCCCATATTCCTGTTACTGTCTGAAAACAGGGAATTAATCCTTCACATCTATGTGATACCTGACACCTACTATGTGTTATACAAAAAGTGTTATGTAAATAAATGCATCAGTAAATAAAAAGCCCAGAGAAACTGTTTAAAAGACAAAGACAAGGAGATTAACTTTTTTTTTAGAGAAAATATTGAGGAGGAACACCCTAACACTTATATTCTAGATAAAATAGAATTTTAACTATTATTTTACTGAAACCAAAATTTCTTCGATTTTCACACTGAAAGTATTAGATTCTTAAAATAGGAGTTCTTTTTCTTGACAATCACTTACCCTCCTCAGATATATAATGCAAAACATGTCCATTTCATATCAAATAGCCACCCTTCCAGTGTGTATAGGAAACATTTTGATATAATGAATATGGCTCTTGTCAGACATGTTATTCTCCATCTAAATGCAAATTCATTTACAAATGACAAAGCAATAAAGAAAATTAGAATTATTTTTGCTTAAGTTTTGACACAGGAAGTCATCAAGGACAGCTCAGGGACTCTCTCTCTGGGGCTCCCAAGAACAGAAGCTAACCGCGGCACTCTGTCTCTACCTAGAGGGACAGATCTTCTTCCGGAGGTTCAAGTCAACAGACCCTACTTTCACTTACAGTTTTCAAAGGCATCCAGTAACTGATGCTTCTCCCCAGGGTTCCATCCAAGCACCCCTTCCTTTCTCACCCTCCATAATTTCTTAAAATTCTTATACTCCCAAGTCTGTGTGTGCATCCTGGACCTTTATTCTGAGTCCTGGCATGTGCCGACTGCCTGTAACACTTTCCTCTGCGTGCCTTCTTTGTCACTTTTTAACCTTCCTCAACCACTCTCTGCCCTCCCTGACAACTCCATCCACCCAACCCCTGCTCCAAAGCACCTCTTATTTTGTCATATTTCCCACACAGGTTAATAATGGCACCATCCACACAGCCCCCAAAGAGAGCCTAAAAGTCATTTTTAATTCCTCCCTCCATCACCTTCACTCCCTTTAGCCTAATTGGTCACCACGTCCTGACCTTACATCTTCAAAATACTGCCTGTATTTCTTCATTCTTTTCTCTCGTACCCTTGGTTGGACTATGGCCATTACCATCCAAATCTCTGCTTAGAGTTTCATCCTGCCCTAATTTATCCTCAACATTACCTTCACAGTGACATTTCAAATATGTAAATATGATCATGTGGCTTACTACATTGCTTAAAAATGTGTGATGAAGTTCAAAATTTTTTTTAATAATTTAAATGTTTAACGTGACACTATCACTTTTCACGACAAAGCTAGGTCCCTCTGCATGGCTTCACCAGGCAGTTGGTGAGTTTCAGAATCTGACCCTTGACTCACAATTTCCTGTATGTATCATAGTCAACCATGCCAGCCAGGAATGTTACATGATTGCAGAATAAATAAATAAAAGGAGGTGACAGTTTTGCCATCCTCAGAAGTAATTAGATGGCACTAGAATTGTGTATTCAGAAAAACAGAATTGTACGGTGTTTAAAAGTGTAGACTGTTAATGTTGGCTGTGGAGTTTATATCCTGGCTCCTCTACTTACCAGTTTTGAGCAAGTTACATAACCTTCGTTAGTAAAATAGAAATAATAAAAGTGCCTATCTTATAGGGTTTGTGGCAACTAAGTTAATTAAAATATACAAAGCAACATGTTACTATTGTAATGCCCATAATACTTTAGGAGAGATATTAACCAATGGAGCAGGGCCTGACTAGGTGACTATTCTGGTATTATGCCATGTGAAGAACAGTTGTAGTTCTACGCAGTGAATAGCAAAGAAATGTTAGCAAGACATTACATGGCAAGATGTACTAAAATATCTGGAAAGTAACCCAGAGTGTTGAACCAGGAACATTAGTGGAACTCTTGGGAAACAAATTCCAGCTCAAATTCTAGAAACACTTTTTATCGAACAGAAATGTCTAACGATAAGACAGGTTGTCACCAGAGGAAGTGGGCTCCCCTCTACTAAGGTATTTAACCAATAGCTGGATAACTCCTCATTTACAATATGTCAGAGAAACTGATACAAAAAAATTCAGGGGAGGAAAATGATTTCTAAGGGCCTTAGGAGTTTCAGATGACAAAGGGCTTGATATGTCACCTAACAGTAAATAGGTGTTTATAGTAATTATTTTTAGCAAAGTCCACGAAGCATAAATACTCATGGCACAAGCTTAGGTGGGTCTGTCATCTAGTTGCCCTTAATAACCCTGTTTACCCAGTGATGGGTAAAATGCAGATCTAGAGCTGTATCACATCATCTGAAATTATTTCCACAGCTCCATGAGTCCTCGCGGACAACCCTAGACAAGTGCTCGCAAGTGCTGCCCATCCCTGGCTATTCCAGCTGCATTTCCTTTTGTTCCCAAGGAAGTTTCTTTAAAAACACAATGACTGTTTTTTACCTCTACAATTTGCTTGCAGTGTTTCTTTTCATTCCTTTAACATGTTTTGAAAGCAATATGGCAAAGAGAATTTGAGAGTTTATTTTGACCATATGTATCACTTTCTAAGAAGGTGGAAAAGTTCAGAAATGAAGAAACTGAGTCATCTTTTGACCTTAATACCACTGAAGCTTTAAGATAAATCCATTAGAAAGAGCTACCCAGTTGAATTCCTATGTACCAATAATTATGCAATCTACCCATCTGACCAAGGACTTATATCCAAAATCTACAAAGAACTAAAACAGATTTACAAGAAAAAAACAAACCCATTCAAAAGTGGGCAAAGGATATGAACAGACACTTTTCAAAGATATATATGAGGCCAACGAACATATGTAAAATGCTTCTCATCACTGGTCATTAGAGAAATGCAAATCAAAACTACATTGAGATGCCATATCATGCAAGTTAGAATGGTGATCATTAAAAAATCTGGAGACAGCAGATGCTGGAGAGGATGTGGAGAAAT